CCAGGCTTTCACCGCATTGTCTGTGTTCACGGGTTATGCATATATGTTCTTTGGTTAATCTCTCCACGTCCCCCTAACGGGACTTTCTTGAATACACAAATCAGAATGACTTACAATCATCATGTTGACCTTTATCTGAGTCTACAGAAATTGCTAAAGCACTAATAAGAGGCAAACATCTCCGTTGCATAGATGGTTAAAGGAGAATTAGAACTGGGGAGTCAGACGCTCCAGGGGTTGAATTCTGATTCTTTTTTTACTTGCTGAGTAACCTGGGCGAGTTACTGAATTTTCTGAGCCCCAAGGTTTCTTCACCCATCATAAAAGATAATAATAGCACTGGCTTCCTGAACTGTGACCCCTGGTTCTCCAGCTCAGGTCTGCATCAGAAACCCTTGAAGGCTGTTAAACCACAGGTCCCGGGCCCCACTCCTACGTCTAGGGTGGGGCCAAGAATTTTCATTTCTAACAAGTTCACAGTTGATGCTTTCACTGTCGGTTCAGGGAACCTCACTTTAAGAAGTGCTGATGGTTAAGAGTCAATAAGATGAAACATACTAAGACCATTATAAACCGTAGCGATAATGGTGGTGGCGACGACAGTGATGATGATGAGGTCATCGCACCCTTTTCTCATATGATCTTTATATTATCAGGTGTGGGCAGAAGAAAAAGCTGGTGATCAACAATGGGAATGGAGCTGTGGAGGACAGGAAGCCAAGTGGACTCAACGGGGAGGCCAGCAAGTCTCAGGAGATGGTGCATTTGGTGAACAAGGAGCCGTCAGAGACCCCAGACCAGTTTATGACTGCTGATGAGACTCGGAACCTGCAGAACGTGGACATGAAGATTGGGGTGTAACACCTACACCATGACCTGGGATAGTAATCACAAATAACCATTACAGGGAGCTGGGACACTCACAGATGCAATGTGCTACTGATTATTTCATTGGGGCTCTTTTTTTTTTAGCATAAAATTTTCTACTTCTTTTTGTTTATTGTGTTTTATTTTTTGAAGTCCAATTTATAAAAGCAGCATTGCTTTCTGAAATGAGGGCCCAATTAACAATCAACAAGAATTTGACCGTTTCAGTTCCCACCTAGAAGCCGCTCACTCCCTGGGGTGTGCTATGGATGGTTTCTATCAAAAGCCATAAATACATCTTTCTGATCCCAACCTTCCCTCCACCCCACCTCCCAGGCAACAGCCACATACAAAGGACACCCCAGAACTAAGAGGAATTGGTTCCTGAAAAGAAATCTGAATGGATCTATATTTCCCATCCAGGGGCCCAATCCCTGGGCATTGCTTTCCAGTGGGGTAGGGATCGGGGTGTACTGGCTACACATCCCCTTCTCCGGGCCCCTGGAAATTTTTCTGATGCTTCTGAGAATGCCCAAAAGGTCAAGCTAATTTATCTATAGTAAGCTATTTATCTGTGTTTTTGAATATTAAACCCTGGAGGTCCTGTGATTAGGATGATTTTTTTGTTTTGTTTTGTTACTTTGTCAGAGGCATAAAGGGTTTAAGTCCATTCATAATAAACATCTGTACCTTTTTCACTTTAACCCTTTGTGCTGTGATCCTTCAGTTTCTTAACCAGCAAGGTCTGGGTCCTGACAGCTCATCAGGAAGATGTGGAACCGTCTCCCTGAAAGACTTCATCTCAGAGCTAAGCCCTACTCAGGCTCCCTCCACCAACTCTCACAGACAATCGAGGAGACAGCGCTGTTGTGTTTCTGAGGCTCCGGCGGCTTTCTGTCCGGCCCTAGAGCCAGAATAGTGAGCGGAGGCGCTTCAGGGGTGCTCATGTTTTTATGGCCACCTGTTCTCTCCGAGTGGCTATGAAAAGTCACATTACATTTGCATGACCTACCATTGTGGTGTCCCTCTTCCCTCAGCCCATTAGTGATGTCCAGAAACAACATGGAAGTGCCTTTTGACCTCTTGTCAAAGGAGCAGCAGTGGAAGGGAAGGCGCAGGGACGGCAGGGCTGGCCGCAGGCCCTGCTCCAGCCGAGGCTGTGTGCGTTTGCGCTTTGACCTTCCCCTTGTCTGTCCCCGACGAAGCTGCTACGCAGAAGCTAAGTGCCTGGGGACTCTCTCCAAAGCCTGGGGCTTCTCACCATCCCAGCCTCAGGGCCGGATTCCGAGTTTATGGCCGAACAGGAGATTAGGGGCCTGTCGGCGCTTGGCGGGTCTTCTGTGGCCTTTGTTCGTGAGAGCAGAAGGCCCTGTCCTCCCGGGGGGCTCAGAGCTGGAAAGGGGGAGCCCCTGTAAACGGGGCCCCCTTCCCTAGACCCTGCACAGGCGGCCTGCCGCCCAAACTAATGTGCTGAATGGTGGTGCTCCCCAGGCGGGAAGAAAGAGCCAGGAGGAGGAGGGGGAGGGGGAGGGGGAGAGGCTCCTCCTGTTGGCTGGGATAAGGGAAGTGGTGGCAGAGTTGGGTAGTCAGCTGCCGGTGGTGGGGGAGGAGGTGGAGGGGCAGCAAAATCAGGGTGAGGTGGGAAAGAGGGTGGTGAAGGTGGTGGTGGGGTCACTGGGGATCCAAATCCTCCAGGTGGTGGTGGGGGAGGGACGTTTATCATCGGAGGTGGAGGTGGAGGGGCAGAGGGAGGAGTATAGCTGGCTTTGAGGCCGGGTGGAGAGCCCAGAGGAGGAGCTGGTGGTGGATGGCTTGGGCTGACCACACTGGATCTTTTGGGTCCAGCTAAGCCAGATGCCCTTTGGTTGTTGTCCACTGGGTAGCTAAAAGGACAAAGAAAAAGACCCACCATCACTTTCAGGATGCAAATACCCGCCTATAAGCCTAGATTCATTTTGGTTGACTATATCATTTCATTTTGGTTCAAATAGAAAAAAAAAATCTGGAATGGTCAGAACAGACCAATAATGAAATGGGCAGGTAAGGTAATGAGCTTCCCATAAGTAGAGGGGTCTAAGCAGAAATTGAGCAAAACTACCTAAAAGAAGACAACTTGGGATTCCTATATCAGGTAAGGGTTGACCAAGATCACCTTGTAGGTTCCTCTCAAACCTTTCAGCTCTCCAAGGAAAGTCACTCTCCTGAACCCCCCTCTAATAGGAATGGTCAGTTTAATCCTGGAGCCACGACTACAAAGGCATGCAAGAAAGAACTGGAATAAAAATTCAAACACCACCCACCCACCCTCTGTTCCTCAGGCTATTAACATTCACTAGATCTCATGAGGGCAGGAACCCAAGCAAAGCTGACCAAACCTGAGCAGGGTACAGATTTAGGCAATGGCACTTTCAGTGTTCATGTGTAAAAACTTGAGAAAGAATGGAGGGTCCAAGGGTCAGCAGAGACAGGAAATGAATGTGTCACCAGACTTGACCCGGGCAGAGAGACGATTAAGGGGCACCTCTCCTGGGTCTGGTATGCTCGGCTGTAGGGTCACAGGCCACGTGTGAGGCTGAGGGCTTCTTTTTCCACCTCTGTATCTGCCCTGCACTAACAGCTAGTCCTCAGAACAGCATCCATCTTGCAGTTTTCCACAGACCTTCAAGCCTAGCTGCATCTGACAGGGCAACTGGCAGCAAGTGATTTGGGAGGCAGAAGGAGATCTGGGATTAGTGGTTTTAAGAGGCAAGAAGAATGGGGCTGGGGATGGGATGCTTAGAGCATTGCTTCAGGTTTCCATCTGAGGAAACCTC